AAAGCTATGTCCTTTGCCATTAAATTCAAGATATTAGAGACTAATTTTTTATTTTTCGGTCTATTCAGTTTTGATAATTTACAGATTATTGTTTGAACCCCCTCGGGACTTCAAGGTTGAGGATATGCTTGTTGTTCTGCAAATTGTTTCCTAGTTGTTGAGCCGAGGAGCGGGAAGGACACAAATTTGTTAGGGTTTTCAAGTGTGCATTTGGAGCTTCAAAGTTGCCGAGAATTACGGGAGTTCCAACGACACAGAGGTTCTTTTGAGATATGCTTCTGAAACTAGAGTTTTGCCATGTTCTGTCGCCGTTCCACAGCCAACATGATGTTTGAAGGCCAGTAAAGAGATTCGGTCAAGATTATGACTCTGAAGTTACTAAAGTTCTACTAAGGAAATCGCAAGTCAATTTACAGTCTATATTCACGAACGATGGAACACACAATATATTTTATAGAATTCTGTATTGCAATAAAAAAATCCACATTTTTGCAATGTTTTACAGCTACTGTTCCTTTCTCTTAAACATGGAAATTTTTTCCATTATTTTATGCTCTCCCTGCTTTCATTTCTGCAATGACTGAATGACATTTACCACTCTTTGCATTGTTTCCTCAATAACATTCTCCCTAGTAACCACGGCAAGTTATACCTGCAGCCTAAAATAAAACTGTGCCTATATGAAAATTGTATAGCTGCAATATATTTTTCAGGCATAGGACTGAATAAAGAGTTTAGGGAAATCCCTGATTCTATGAAAGGTAATGAATAGCATGGCAATGGATGTGATCTGAGCAACAACAAAACATTCGATGAGTTTTTTAATGCATTTGCCTGTGATAGATTTGATTTTTAAGAGTCAGGAAAATCAGGTTAATATATGGTCAAGAGATAAATGGTCCACAAAGTGTTCCAAAGTCATCCTGGAGAGGTGAGATACAGAAACCTTTAAATATGAAGCAACCGCATGTTGATTATTTATGCAAAATAAACTTGGAATGCGCAGCTGATCAAGCATCGTTGAAAGCATCTGAGATATAAGCAGCTTATTCAAATTACCTTAATCACCAAGCTATTCCTAAAGAGATTAAAATAGGATATAAAGTTTATTTGCATATTCCAAACTCATCCAAATAAACTTAATGCAAGATGAATTGGTTCATGAATTATTGTTCTTATCCACATAAAGTCAAATTCTCTGATGAAAAAAACAAGACATGGTCATGTGAATAAAATCTGACAGTTTGTTGCTAGAGTACATGCTGTGGTTAACATTTTTGAAAACAAAACATTTGAAGATATTCATCCAAATCTACAAGATTCATCTCAAGATACAGAAAGTGTTCTTCAGAAAATGAAACAATTATCAAATGATCAACAGCAGCATAAGAATCATTATCTACAGGTAAAGAGAAAATTTCACAAGTGGCAGTCATAAAATAAAATTTAAATTAAATGACGAAAAGAAAACCCACATATCTATCATATTCCAGAATTTAATGGTCAAAGTTGATGAACTGAAGAGCTGTTAGAGCTTGATTTAATAGAAGATGGTAGATCTGAAATTGCATATCCTGCAGTTTGTGTAAACAAGAAAGATGAAGGAATTTGCCTGCATTGATAATCAGGTATTAAATGTTGTAACGATTACTGATGATTTTTCTATGCAAAATGCAGTAGAACTCATATATTCAGTAGAACAAGCTATTACAATATTCAACATTGAATTTACTACAACTATATTAGGCTATTCCCATGCATCCTGAAAATCATGATTATGCTTGCTTTAAAATTCATAACAACAGTACATATGTTAAGAGTTTTGGTCTTAAAACATGCTGCAGCAAAACTTCAAAAAGAAATCAATAAAGCACTTTATGAATACAGAGATTTTGCCTCAGCATACAATGATGACATTGCAGTTTTCTCAAAGGAATGGAAATCTTATATTATTCATTTAGATATGACACTTAATACATTGGAAAAGCTGTGCTTTGTGGTAAATATCAGGAGATGTGATTTTGCCAAACCACAAAGTAAATATTTGGGTCAAGTAATTGGTTCTAGGAAGCATCAAGTGGATCCCATGAAAATAAAAGCTATTTCCAGATTGTCGAAGCCAAAGACCAAATAGCAGCTTAGAAGTTTTATTAGGTCTATGTAATTACTATAGAGACTATATTCCAAAATATTTGGGATTAGTGAACTGACAAAGAAGAAGATAACTGATTAAACACCATGGAGGGAAAAGTACAATATAGCTTTTGAGAAAATTAAGGATGCTCTAATCAAAGATCCATCATTGTATACACATTTGGGGACAAGCATTCATATATGATGCCTCTCAAATAGAAATTGTAACATGTTTATCTCAAAAATTCAAAGAACACATTTACTCCATAGCCTAAGCAAGTTAACTCAAGGTATTATAGAAAGAAACATACACTACCATATGGAGTTGAAAGAAATTTGAGGCATAGATTTTCAGATCCAAAGTTAAACTATACACTGAGCATAATCCACTATCTTATTTAATGAAATGTGCACCACAATAATCTAGATCAGTGGTTGCCAACGGGTGGTCCGTGAAAACTTTTTGAAGGTCCGCAGAAAAATTGGGACATTATTTATATTTTTATGAAGATTCAGTTTAAAAAATGATGAGAAACAAATCTATCATGAAATATGGATTATACTTCTTTTTTTAATTTTAGCTACTACTTTTACCGAAATTACTTCTGAAATTAGTGACTTTTTATCTACTTTTGCAGGTGTATCTAGCGACATTTGAAACTGAAAGTTGGCATCCATGGATATACTGCTGTTATCAATAACAGCATGAATTGGAATTCTCTTCCCTTTCAAATTACAAATATATGCTATTGTGGTCGTTAATAAGACAGTTTTTCTCCATGTCAATAGGCACCTTGATGGATTTTTATGAGAACTATCTGCATTCTTGTTTATAATTGCATCACTGGAAGTTTCTGCTTTTGTTTTGTCTAACTGTTAATCGATGCCGCCATTGCTAAGTAAGCAATGATTACTATGTTTACAATAATTAAAAACTGGCGGCATAACACTGTCAGTTTATTCATATTGCTTTGCGTTTGCTGGTTTGTCCTTGCTTTTCGTGAAGTTGCTTTTCAGTGATATGGAAATGTGAAGCTTCCTGTACAAGAAGGTAAAATTTTTGTACTTTTCGTGTAATTTTTCAGTGTGAATGAAATATGTGCAGTTTGCTGATTATTATTGTATAAATGTATTTTACCTTTTTTTAATTCATATTAGTGCTCCATCAAATATAAAATTATATATGTAGTGGTCCGTGTAGTTCCTAAGGGTTGGTGACCACTGATCTAGACTACAGCATCAGGCTTTTGCTTTGCAAAGATACAATATCAACATGAAACACTACCCAGGAGTCAAATGGGTAATGCAAATGCTGTATCCAGACTGGTAGAAGAGTGAATATCCTTTGTCATACATGGATAGTAAAACTTTTAAATTCTTGATCATATGGACAAATTTATAAAGATTTTAATTTTAGTGATTTAGGTGATTTGCTAATTTTCATGGTTAAAGTAACCTTTTGAGGCCGGGGCTTTGGTAGCAGTAAAAGCTACCAAAGGACGGCAAATCTTGAACCGAATGCTTTCCCCCCCCTTTAAGAAATCTCCTATTTGCAACAAAGATTCTCGTGTGTAGTTTAATGGATTCTCAGAGGGGTGCATCTATGTCGCAAAAGGAAGACCTTTGAAAGAGATAAGTGGTTAAAACCCCAGGGATGTCAAATTTGACATTTCACCCCACTTTTCAGCCTGGAAAATGGGGAAAAAAGACATGGCCACTAAAGTGGACAACCCCGTCTTTTCAAAGAGAGGACTCTATGGCCACTACAATGGCCATCCCATCTTCAAAAGGTTAAAGCTTACGTATTGCAATCGATTTCTTTACTAAATAATATTTGTGATGTTACAGAAACTAGACAGTTAGAGCAATTAGATGGTTTAGAAGAAACATGCTTAACTATTTTGTTCTAAGTCTTGCTTTAAAAATATTTACTTATAAGAGTTAACTATTTTGCTATGTAAATATTGTATTTTTTTTTTAATTTAGTAATCAAGTGTCAGATTAGCAGATATAATGATGGATTGTGAACCCCAGGCTTTATATTATGAGATTCAGTTTGGACACTTCTGTCTAACCATAATTTTAGGGAAAAGGTGTAGCGCCTGGTCCTCCTAAACATTAGCCATAAAAGCAAGTAGCTAGTGCACCCTAACTGGAGGAGAGAGTTAGTTATGAACTGGCTTTCAGTGGAAGAGGCTGAATGCTCAGTGGAATGAGTATAATCAACAATTTTATTCTGATTAATACTGATTTTGAACGAAGTGTACGTAACCTGACTGTTTGGTTAGTAAGCAAAAAGGATTAATTTGGATATCATTGACTGTGTACAAGGGACAACTCGGCTAAATTCGGATAATACAGGCATAATGTAATATTTGCAGAAGACTAAACTTTAATACATTTAGATAACATGGAGGCAAGTTACCATGTGGCAAAACACACTGAGGATAATTTGAAAAATGTAAAGCTTCTGCCACTGCCATTTAAGATTATCTAGCGTTTTGCCCACAATAAATTTCATACTCATGACAGAAATACTTCCAGAACAAAAAGAAACTTCAAAAATAAATGTTGCAGAAGAAACATTTTCTAGTGGTATCATATCTGTATCTTTCAAATGTGTGAGAAACAATACAGCTACTGCTACTCAGGTTGCTGGATGTTTTTAGAAGTCACTAAAATCACGAAATTTTCAATTTGGGTAATAAGGTAATTTTTTTAATGACTTGGGTCATTACTAAAATACACGTTTTCCTAGAAACATTACCTTTAATACTAAAAACTATTTTATGTAAAAATATAAGTGCATAATTTTTTTTACAATATATTAATTGAACTTAAAATGGAAGACTACTAAAAATGCTCACCAAACTGTTTAGGAAAGCACATAATATTTGCAATTTCTTTTGGTGTAAAATATCGAAGCTGCAATTTTTTCAGTAAGGCAAGCTTATCTTCACTCACATTTGTTGAAGTAACACGAGATAAAATGTCAGACACCTGAAAATAAAATGTGAATGCCATGGAGGATGCAGTACTCAATTCTATCTATTTCTATATTTCAACAGTCATATATAAAACACATCACATTATGGATACAAAATTACTGCATATCACAAAACTGTGAATTTTTTTAACATTTTCCACATATTAAATAAAAAGGAAAACTTAAGGTATTTATAGGATTTTTAGTACTGATTTAGTAAATTGATGAATTGCTAGAAAAACTATAGCCTATTAAAAGCATACTCCTACAAGAGGAATGTCTATAGAAAAACTAACAAATGATAAGACAAAGGCAAACAAGTGAATTAGCTCAGAGTATGACTTGTAATAAGAAACACTGCAGCTACTGAAAGAGAAAAAAAATTGAAAAATACTGTTTTAACAAGTCAGAGTCTAAAGTTACTATTACTAACACCATGAGAGGTTTAAATCATATAATCAATATATGGGAATGCTGCCCTTGAATCAGTAAAAACAGATTATTGCAAAAAGTATCAAAGTTCACAATCTCATTCCTAGAGAAGGCAATGACTACAGAGTTAGGCTAATGAGATATATCATATAATCCTCTTACTTATATTTTAATTCACCAGATATTAAACTTCCTTTCAGTTTCTATGTAGTAATTCAAATATTATCTCCTTTTCTTGATAGGTTATAGGGTTTGGCGCTCTTTCGTAGCATAAACTAAGTCCAAACTCTGTGCAGACATACAGTGAATTATTGCTATGTCTTTAAAGAACTGTTGACAATAATCCACCAACCACTTGTGGCAATGTAACTTAAAGTTTCAAAATCAACCAGTTCCAAATTTAAATTAAATAGTAAAAGGCTACACAACTGATTAAACATGAAGTTGGATCAAAACTTTTCACCAGCATAACAATTTAAATGTCGGCAACTATAATGCAAAGAAGAAAAAATATAATCTTATTAAAGCCTAGTAAGGATACCTCAAGACGCAGAAACATGCTCTGACTTACATCCCAAAACCTCAGCTTAAATACTCTGAAACTAATTGCACTCTAGTAAGCAAAGGAAGGGAGAGGCAAGAGTAAAGAACTAAATCATAATATCATAATAAAAGGTTAAGTTAACATAAAGGAATGTTACAAGGTGTTAACACAGCACGATGAAATTAAAGTTTTCCTCCTTCATTCTGAATATGAATGTCATTAAAAAACCAATCTATGTCACTTAAATCAAAGTAAACAACAGGTAAATGCTTAATTCCAAACATACACTAAAAAAAATAAGAGCTTTACAGCATTTTATTCTTTTGAACTTCTATTCGAATTTTTTCTTTCTTATTTGCTGCATTATGAGACAAAAAAAATCACACATACATAGCTTATTATGTTTAAAGATATCCCAATATGATTGACATACTTTCAGCTTTTTATAGAATACTAAGCACTTACGCTATTGTAACTAGAACAATTTTATATGGAAAGTTCATATCCTCCCCCAAAAATTATATCTGAGTATTACAATTAGAGAAATTTCACAATAAAATGGATTTTACGAACTTTTAGTCTGATGAAGTCATGATTTAGCAAGATTGGCAAATCACAGCATTCTGAAAAAATTTTGCAATACTTTAGACTTTTTTTTTTTCCAAATGTACATTTTACAATATACTTATTTGTTAATGCCACAGTGGAGAAAAGCAGTTGCTTTCTCTGCCTCTTTTCCCAATTATTTCTTTCACATATTCAAATTTCAAAATTGCTTATGGACACATAAAAAGTAATAGCTTTGCATAATATCCCCTAGGATCATATATGCTGGCTTAGTATTATACTTTCACAGGCTTGGCTATAGGGACATAAAATACACAAGTCCCATTCCTACTATCTAAATAGGTAATTTGTGCTATCCTGAAGAGTAGTAGCATCAGCCATAACAGTGGGTAGCGTCACCCCCAGTCTATTCATCAGTTTCATAAGCACCACACCCTTCGTGTTGTCTCTGAGGGGAAATTCTAGCACACAGGGATTTAGTCGAGTAGGTTTTATGATACACTCAAAATTTAATATATATGCTCTGGGAATGGGGTTCCCAGAATGATGCAGTGTAAGAGACTTATTAGGAAGCTCAGAAAGTTTGTGAGCCCGCTTTCCCACGTAATGCAACAGCTAAATAAGGGTGAGCAGCTATAGTTGCATTAAGTTGCAGGAGTGGTATATATATATTTGACTCATTGATACCTGCACAGACTAAGTACAATTAGATTGGCTTACTTTATTCCATATTAAAAGCAGACTACGGCCATCTGATTATGGGAAGGCATGCCTTCATGGATGACTTTTTAAGAGGAATAATAATTTACTATTGTCATAATAATTTTAACTGCATTATGCATAAGGAAAACTGATTATAGTATGGTAACACATTTAAAAATCAGGAACAGAATGTGAGGTAACTATTAGCACTTCATGGCTTTAGCAACTCTGCCAATGGTCAACAAACTAAATAAATATCATTTAAAAGCTGCTAGACGGTAAGAAAGAATCACATAAAAGTTGGGAGATGAGCAAAAAGTCATTTAGAATATATCAAATTTGCAAACCTACTGTTTTTCTGAGCAGACGCATAATCATAAGAAGATTATTTACCAATTTGATTTTTAATTGAAGGAGTTGCAAAAACATTATTTTGTTTGTAAGAAAGTTTAGCAGACATAAATAAATTTTATAAAAAGCATTTAGACAACAAATTGATTTATTGTCACAATAATATTGTACAATAAAACATGAATAAATCTGAAGCAAATTCATCTGCACTGCAATATAAGTGCTTGCCAACAGATATTAAATAATCAACAACCAAAAATATAATTAATAAAAAAAACTAACTTCTGAGTCTTCAACTGAAAATAAAACTGATCCAGTTCCTTGAGCATAATGTCTGTAACTGTAGTTAGACAGAAATAAAAATTAATTTTACAACAATCTCAGAAAAGAAGCATTAAAAAAACACTAATAATTATTTACTAACAATTCTAAAAGAGTCAAAAAAATCAAGTTAAAACTTACGCTTTAGTGAAGCAGCAAGAATTAGTGCCAGACTTGTTTACCATGTCAAAGACGGTCCAATGCTTTAATAATGCATCATCAGAGATTAAGAAACTACTAAAATATTCTTCTGGTTTTTCTTCTAAAAAGTGTCCTACAGAACACCTAGGAATGCTTGCAGAGTATTGTTGCTGACAACACTTTTCACACACTGCTGTCCAAGAGTATGCTTCTTTTGGCATTTTAAAAAGAACCTTATAAATAATTACAGAACTTATAAATAAAATATGCACCAATATTTTGTCTAATAAGAATACGATGATTTAAAAACAGGATTCCCAACCTGGAATATGATAGCAGCTTGTATATTTAAGGTAAGTGTTTGCAGACTCTAGTGTGATACTGCTCTTATAGCAAGCACAAACACTAGTGAAGCATTTCCTAAGATGTGGTGAACAAAAAAGGTTGGGAACAATTGCTTTAAAAAAAGGTTATAAAAAGCGCAGCAAATGTATACAGATGAAAAAAGTAAGCTTAAAAAGAAAACAGCCAATCATAAAATGTTCATGGCCGGTAACTTGGGGGAAGGGGAATGAGAAAATTAATACTACATTCTAGAGTATTATGTTTAATTTTACATAATATTATATTATATTTTTTGGTTGAGATTTTTAACAGACTAATAATGACTTACATGTTCTTTTGATTAACATAAAATATAAGATGTTGTTACTTATAAACCAATGGTTACCTCTAACTAACCAAAGGCTTGCCCCTGAAACTTCCAAATTCCAATATTGAAAAAAATATTTCCTCGATTATAATTCATAGTTTCCAGCCTGCTTACTGCACTCTATTACTTGAATAACTGGGTTTAATACTATTAAATACATATGGAAAGTTTCAGGTTTAAGAAAACACAGCTTTAAAAAAAAAAATTAAAAATATATTTTATATGCTTCAAATTATACCATTATTCTACTTCAAATTGTCATTATTTTCAAAATTTTTATTTAATTAGGTTCTTTTCCCTTTGGGAATGACATATACAGCTTCTAACTACAGTTAAATTTTCACTTCCAGCATTCCATATAAGGATTTGAGGCCCCAAGACCAAACCTCTAACTTGTTGCACACACTGCATTTACCTTTATTAACCGTTCAGTATGGGCATGTCATATGTGCATCAGCAGTGAACATTACCTCACGGCCGGGTGTGTCATATTTGAATCACCATTTAATTCACTCTATGGCCGGGCGTACCACATTTGACTTTTAGATAGAATGCTTAATTAGTATTTTTTGTTGCCACTAGATGTAGCTGTATGTCTGTTATGGGGAAATATATCGAAAGTTAAGTATGTGTACCTTCATTCCTATGTAATGTTTTTATTTTGGGTATTTTGTTTCGGAACGAGAGGGAGATTTGTGGGCGGGTGCTGAGCAATGTAATGTCTCTTTAACTGCATCATTTGATATAAACAAATGCACGTGTTCTCGATGCTTTGAGGTACTTTTTATTTTTATTTTTGCGATATAGGTATCTGAACGTAGAAGAATATACACAAATGCTAATTCGTTAGTGTTGAGTAACGTGATGGCTCTTACTGTGCCATTTCATATAAACAAATGAACATGTTCTCGATGCTCTGGAATACTTTTTAATTTAATTTATTTATTTTATTTATTTTTATTTTTTTATCCCCGTCTAGTGGAGTACATGTTCTATCATTAGAGACTTTTTTATTACTCTTACATTTTTCCAGCATTGAGACGAATATTTTGTATGGCTTAGCGAAAGTTGTTTTTTTAAATGTTCTATTTTTTTAATGGCAAAACGAAAACGCTATCTGACTGTAGAAGATACACAAATGCTAAATGAGTCAAATTTGCTGATGTTCTATTCCTGTGACATTTGCAACGTTGGACTTTGCTTACACCCATGTTTTAAAGAATATCATACACTGACTCTTTTTTGAAATGTTGCTTCCTTTTCATTGTTTGCACATTGAATTTTTATGAAAGACAGTTTTAATATTTTTTAATTTTAATCATGTGTTGTTTTAAATAAAATCTGCGATTGTTTGGATATTTTTCCATATATATTTAATTGTGGGATAAAGGAAAAATTATATTATTCTAGAATGACTATTTTATAACATTTTTAAGGAAAACATACCAATAAAGGTTTAATTAATTCTGACAACTACCTGAATGTTCTTCTCATAATGTACCAAAAATTGGAACAATTGGATGACATATTTAATTTATACGAATTTTTTTTCCAAAGTTAGGCTTAGCAGCACGAATTGCCCGTCTGCACAAGGCGACGTATCCGGTTGACGCGCCGTCCCAAGAGAATGCTTCGTTAACGGAAATGCCCGGCGCGAACGGGTTAAATTCATGCTTTTAGTGCTAAGTAAGCACACAAAAATATTAATTATAAATAAATCAGACACGATATCCATGTTAAAAATTTCATCTGCCTGACAACTGGTAGCATTTACATAAAAGACATTGCCTGTCATTTGAAAATATATCTTAAAATGATAACATTAAATTTCAAACAAGCATAATTTTGACTACATTTAAGAATATTTTGGCAATATTTTTCTTTACCCTCATCACTTTTGATTGCAGAAGGAAAAGGGATATTATTTAACCACATAAGCACACAGTTGGTGGCTAAATTATAAATAAAAATATTTATACGAATAAAGGAAATCATTAATAAAAAAACTTAACTTTAGCATTATTAAAAATGCTCATCCAAAATCTGTAATTTCTTTCTTAGTAGCATAACACGCTAATTTGTATTCTAAAACAGGAAGAAAAGGGGTAAATCTAAAGCCAAAAGGAAGGGGGAGACCACCTTAAACTGCACTAATTCAGAATAAAAGTCAATCAATTTCAAAGCCAATCAAGCATAAAGCCCTTTTCATTAGAAGGATAAAATTTCCACAGAAGTAATGACATGAATGATAACTAACTACATTTATATCAATATATACATTTATTATATCGTACATTATTATAAATGTACTTTTACTTCTGAAACAGTGCTAGCAAAATTTGAACTTTTGATGTAAAGAGCAAAACTGAATTGCATATTGATTTATCACTTCAGTACCAATAAAAGTAATTTTAAAGAAAAGCATAGTTCCTCTACGCCAGTAATGGAAAAAAAAACCATGTTTCTCAATGAAATACAAATAACATCTCTTTCACCCAAATTAACAACATCAAGATGAATTCTGTTATTTATTGAAGTTGGTATGTATCACCTACATTCACCATTAGGGTACAGTTTGATGAAATTAGTGCATTTCTCTCACAACCAATACTGCAAATAATTAAGATTGGATTACATAATTATGGCAAAGGCTGACTGATTAAGAGAGGACTGGCTATGCCAGTGATGGCAAACCTTTTGAGATTGGCATGTCTAGATCCAGAAAAACCTTAGCTTAACTCTAATTCTGTGTCACATAAGAAACATCTGTTTGCCAAGAATGCACTCAAATGCATCCAAAGCACAGCAAATGTTGAAAATGATGAGGCCGTTTTAATCATGTCTGTTTACGATTTACGTATTTGATAACTTAATAAATATTTTTGTATTTTGTAAATTTTTTGACTCCATTGATAGCTCTGGAAATGTGTGATACATGTCACCCAAAATAGGTTAATGTGTCATAGATTACCACGAATGGTCTATCCAGTGGACTTTCAAGGTTTACATTTATGTCACACATGAGAAAAAGTACAAAAACCCCCTGCATTCTGCCTGTGCAACAGTTTAACCCATGATGAGTAACAAGTTCCACCCAGCTCAACATTAACTGGCTTAAAAAATAACAAGAAACCAAGCTTCTTGACTAAAAGTAAAGATAAATTTTGCTATTTAAACCTCTTACTTATGAAGTACATACTATGCTTTATTCAACAAAGCAATCAATATGGTAAGTGTATAGAGTATGATTATATGCATTAATTGAATATTTTATTAGATACGAAGCATAACGTAATACATTCCCTTTCAAAAGTTATATTGCTCTATGTTTTATGCTTCTGTAAAGTAATACAAATGAAAAAGGCTGAAGTCATCTAAATATTGCTCTACATCTTATGCTTCTGTGGAGTAATGTAAATGAAAAAAGGTGAAGTTACCTAAATGTATTTGAGCATTATATATATTAAAAAAGAATAAATTACCACTTATACAAACAAAAGTTTACTCATCATATTTAGAAATTAAATTTATTTCCACCACTGAATACAGGTAAATAATCAGATCAAATTGATTTTACAAAAAACTTGGTATTTTCATGCAAATTTTTAAATATTAATCTGTTTAAATTTATACATTTATCTGTATATGTTATATGCATTAGTGATCTGGTGTTATGGCATAGATTGCTACAGTAATACAAACAACTGTAAATGAAAGCTTTGCATAATTTTAAAATCTCTTGATCATATTATTTATGACAGGCAGTTACAAACACATGCGGTTAGATCACAAGGATCAATTACACAATTCATATGAGTTTTATGCTGACATAAAATTATCAGAAATTGGTTGATCATTTTAGAAAGCTCAGTTTGTAACAGTACTTGCCTAAAGAGAGAAGGTCCTGGACGCAATGCCCAATCAGATCAGAACAAACTTAATAAACCTCTAATGTTGCAGTCTACCATTACACCTAATAGTATACCTATAAAAATATACTAAAACAGAATGAGTCAAAGGGTTATGCACATTTTATCTTTCATAAAATGTTCCAGAAACTGAAACAAACAATATGGTTTTCCTGGTAAGGCACAAATCACCATATGTTAAGGTATATATGCATGACTGCCATTCTGAATGTTACTCAAAAAATCTCAAGAAAAAGAGCATGTAATACATGAACTCAGGCTGGAATTCTCCCCCTCCCCCAAAGAAATTTATTGCAGTTAATTTGTCTATTAATTCCGTTATTTCTTCATTCAGCTGTAAGAATTATTCTGGTAAGGATATTTTCAATGATTTCAATTTCTCTTATCAAGAGTCATCAAAAAGCAAATTAGACTGAATGTAAATTATGAACAGACTTGTAGTTTGAAAGAGTGCTGTACTTGAAATGTCCAGCACGCCGATTTATGCATTTGATAAGTGGGTTTTAGTTTCTGCTGGTGCACAGGATTAAAGTCTCTGTTAGTTAAAGCAAAGTTATTACTTGTTAAAAGTTAAGAATTGTTATAAGGTATTTCTCCCACCTTCCTAACATGCCTTCATGGTGTGGTGGTCTGCCCGCTGGGCGCATATTGCAGAGGTCCTTGGAATTCCAGGCGAAGGCGTTTCTCATTTTTCATCACTCCTGCTTCTAAACTATCTAATGTCTCTACAGTGGCACCCGAACTAAATGGGTGGTGGATGATGATTCTCCACACCCAGGATTTGGCAACTGGGTCCCCTAAAAACCCCAGTCGCACTTTAAAAGGTGAAGTCACCTAAATGTATTTGAGCATTATATATATTAAAAAAGAATAAATTACCACTTATACAAACAAAGGTTTACTCATCATATTTAGAAATTAAATTTATTTCCACCACTGAATACAGGTAAATAATTAGATCAAATTGATTTTGATCAAACTTGGTATTTTCATGCAAATTTTTAAATATTAATCTGTTTAAATTTATACATTTATGACTGTATATGTTATATGCATTAGTGATCTGGTGTTATGGAAGTATATAAGGTATATAAAATATATAAGGTATTTCTCCCACCTTCCTAGCATGCCTTCGTGGTGTGGTGGTCTGACTGCTGGACGCATATTCCAGAGGTCTGTGGTTTGATTCCTGTTGAAGGCATTGTTCATTTTTCTTTACACCTGCTTCCAAAATACCTAATGTCTCTACAGTGTGTTGCATTTATTAATATATATGATTTACAGAAACCTCAAAGGTAGCAATGGCTAATATTTGGATTGTTAATTTTTAGCTACACCACAAGACATAATTTTTTCTATTAGTTTTACCTCTTGCCTTTGTTACGGACGTTTAGGTAGATTTCTTTTTATTGATATGACAGAAATTAGTTGAGCATGGGAAGATTAAACAAAAGCAAACAGACTATTAAAACTAATTATGTAGCCAAGTAATCGAAAACATTGCAGAAATGGCAAATGACAAATAATGGAATTAACATCTGAAAACTTAAACAAATAAACCAAAAACCATCACAGATTTAGTGAATATTACACAGAATTACCAATGCTATACTTATCAGATACTCTTAGAAATAGATGTCAGCCATAATTTGAACAGATTAGTATTAAACACAAACAGATTGCATTTATAGAAATTTCAACTCTAGTAAAAATTATTGAAATGACAGTTCCTCTTAGTGATCATAAAAAAAATCTGCAGAAAATTTTGTATTTGGTTTCATTACAAGAGTTTTTGTAGATGATTAAGCAAATAAATAACATCATGAGTAGTGGTGTGATTTATACTCATTATGATCAGATAACTGCTGATACCAAAACATAAAACAGATGTTCTACCACTCAAAAAATTGTGTTCATATAATTAATTCAAAGAACAGTTAATGCTCAACTGGATCACCTGGGATAAAGAAATAACACAGCACTAATAGTCCATTTACAACCACATTATATACCACTGTGCTCTGAAGAAATAGCAATATAAAAATACTAACTGCATCATGGTGTTTCTGCAAAAAATTATTTTAAATCTATGAATCATATACTTCCATTTTTATTAACATATTTTTAGCAATATTTCAGAAGCCACCATCATGTCCTTTCAACAGGTAGTGCTTTCTGCCATTAATGACATTCAATATTAGTTTTAATTCATACAGAGGTTACAGAAAACAAAAGCGTTTTCAGTTTTTTTTTTTTTTTTTTTTTTTTTTTTTTTTTTTTTTTTTTTTTTGAAACCCTCCACATAACATTATGCACTTTTCTAAATCTTAAACATGAAATATTCTAATTAGGGAAAGGATAGTTTAATTCACTCTATACTCTTTTATTTCCAGAAAAATTTTGAGTTCTTTAAAATGTGTGAAATTTTATGAATGTGTCATATATTTTAATTCATTTACAGTTGTCATTCATGGTATGGTGGTTAGTGTAAGCTGACTGCACTTATGATTAGGCCTAGATTTGAATTTTTTCAATGGATATTTGTGCATATAGTGTCTTCATTGAATGGGGGTACTTTAAATATGTCAATCTAAAAAATTGTCTCAAGAAACAAGGGACAAGATTCTCAGATTCATTTCTTGGAATATTTCTGGCCAAATGTGGAATGCAGCTTAAGCAGACAGCCCTTAGGTGCTTAGTTTACATTAAATAATCCAATAATTTCTTAACAAAATATAAGAAACTACACAGCATATATTTTAATCACATTCCTAAAAACAAAGTAAATTTATTTTTACTTATAATTCCTACTCCCACTGATTAATTACTATGGCACTTTTCTTTCAGTTTTTTGCAATAAATTTTAAACTTTAGGCATAACACTAAGTATTTTAAATCACTAAAATTTTGGATGGAATATTCACTATAGAACATACCTGTTGAACACAATCAAAAGAAAATGGCAGTTGCTGTTGCTTGGCTATTATATAATAACGAAGTCTAGAATTTGGAATGCCAAAGTCTTTAGGAGAAAGAAGAAATTCTTGATACCTATATCCACTCTTTTTCAGTGTTTCAATTAGCTTTTTTCTGGTCTGAGAATTTTCAAATCCCTGCACATTTTCCAATATCAAGTAAAGTGGTTTCTTCTGAAGCCTTTAAATTTGAAATTAAAATAAACTGTTATGTTAATGATGCATGTATACTACATAAAAATGCTAAAATTTAATTTTAAATAGAAGCATGACATCTCCCTAAAAACAATGAAAGGAATTTGGCTCTCAAGACTTACATATTCATCTTCCTTTCCTTCTATTGTATAATTATTATATTCTATTGTATAATTATCAAAGTTGCATTTATAACCTACAATTATAAAAATTTTCTAATTGGCTAATTGAAACAAAAAAAATTAAATTTAAAACATATAACTTGAATATTCAGGTTAGGTCCTCTAAATTTTATAAGTAAAATTCTACACTGCCTACAATAATAATAAAATGGACCATATAATTTGTGAATATACAATAAGGAAATTAATAAACTTCATAATTATATCTGTTCAGAGAAGGCTTTTAAAACTTTTCAAATATAAAAAAATTTTAATATATCTATTAATTATGTAACAAAATCACAAGAGATTTCAAAATATTATACTGTAATTAATTTTTTATTCAAAACATCATTTGAAATAATATAGATGAAATTACGCTTTCTATTATTATAGACATTTCTAATTTACTTATTTTATACGAACTAGAAGACCCCAACTTTCTCTCAATACAAATTTCCATCTATTAGGTAAATGCACATTAATGAATTAGTGTATGAATTTTCATCAATGGTTCACACAAAAAAAAAAGTTTGCCGCAGTTACTTTTAAAGACCTCCGTTCCTTGTTTAAAGGCAACTGGCCTTTTTGAACTGCACTATAACATTCCATTTATATATAAAAATTTATCTACACTCCAAATATTAAAAAAATAATAATTATTATTATACACACAAAAAAAAGGGGGGAACCTTCAAGTTAATCTGAACATATAATCAATATATTTTAAAATTAGTTAACAGTTCAATACTACTTAATGATAATTATTTAGTTTCTTGAATTACTTATATTTTTATACATTATTACCCTATTCTAGACTAAAGCATTTAATATTTAATATAGTAATACTCAAACTCACTATCCGCTTATCAGATTCTACACTAATTTTTCAAAATTATTTCATTCACTTAAAAATTCTTATCAACAATTCAAAATTTTCAACATAAATTTTAAAATATAATTATTTACCTTAATATCCTTCCCTAAAAATAGTTTAAATATCTTAAAATTCATTGCTTAGTTATTAATTCACACATTATTATGAAATGTTAAATCTTTTTTAACAATAATTTCATACTTTTGCAAAACAGCCCAATCAAATTTCAGAAATTTTAAGCAAAATTTAAATGCAAAATATACAGTCCTCAGCATATTAATAATTTTGTCTCATCGGAAAATAAACTTGAGTTAAATTCACATGAAGATAAAAATTTCGAGCTTTTGAATGATGAAATGCTGTTAGAAAAAGTAGAAGTTCAAAAAAGTAATTTTCAGTCACACATGTTTGATGCAAAACGCAAATCACAACCTTGAACCAGCTGTAATGCAGAATCTCTTAAGTGGTAATTCACTGGTGATTTAAAAACACAATTTTTTTTTTTTTTTTTACCTTCCAAACATTATTGAGGTGGCCAAAATAAATTCTATACTTCACTTTCAATAGACATTAGAACTTTTAGAGACAAAGCAGGCACATTTATTTAACTTTTGTAGATAATGTTTTATCAAAATCCAGTAAGCGAAAAAATTTCCAATTAAAAATTCATTTCTTTAACACACTTTATAATTCCATAGGGAATTTTCCACACGCACTTACCATGCCCGGTCAATTCATTGCAATAAGATGACTTAGAGTAAGCTGCAACAGATTGATGATGGTTCTATGCATTATATCCTGAGGAGACTTTACTGCATAGTTAGACAGATGACACTCGAAGGAAAGACTTGTAGAAAAATGTGGCAAAATTGTATATAACATTTATTGGTGGATATGAACTACCATAATTTCCGGAGGAAAGGCCGCATCAGTGTAAATGCCGCACTCGAGAAAAATGGCGGGGAAAAATTAAAATTACACAGAAACGCCGCATCAGCGTAAATGCCGCACTCGAGAAAAATGGCGGGGGAAAAATTAAAATTACACAGAAGCGCCGCAATAGATTAAATTGCGCGTGACATCGTCGTGGGCCGTATAGATGCAAAAACTCAACCTAAGTCCTGATATATGACATACCATCTCCCTTCGGAATAGTCTTTCGTTTAAAAATGATCATCGACTTTAGCTTGTAACCGTTTGCGGCACAAGCTAACACACATGTAAATGACGTTCTTTCATGCCCCGTCATAAACATAGATACAGTTTTTGCACCAGTTTCATCAACAGTTCTGTTTGCAGGAGAGTCGAAAGCTAACGGCGTTTCATCCATATTTATTATCTGCGACCGAAGAAGTTTTTTTTTTTTTTTTTTTGTCAATAATAGCTGTCACATATTTTAGAAAAGATGACTTTTTATCCTGCCAGTCCATTGGTAATTGTTGCCCGACTGTTGTTCTAGTATGCACAGAAATATTTTTTCTTTTCATAAATCTGCTACACCTCCTTTGAAATCATTTATGTTCATTCGTTTTGCTATAAATTTTGCTTGTAAGCGAATTTTTACAGTCAAAATTGCCATTTCCTTTCCTCGTTGCTCCTTTATCCAGTTTGCAAGGTCGTCCTCTAGATTTGGCCACCTTACAGTACCACTTCTTTTGGCTTTTTTTCTGTTGTGGCATATTTTTAAGAAGTTCTTTTTCAGCTCTCCAACGTCGAATACATCTGTCGTCCACTTCAAACTCTCAAGCTGCTGCTCGATTTCTAATTTGTTCAGCACGTGAAATTACATTAAGCTTAAAACCAGCAGTAAAGCTTCTGTGCCGTTTAGGGACATTTTCAAAAATTTTCCGCTCCCTTCTTACTTAAAAACTATCCAACACGTACTTGTACCCAAACTGATGGGATCTGTATCTGCCAGAATGTCAAGAGAAATCCATTTATGCTGAAGAGGAAATACGTCCGAGTTCGGTTATTGCGAGGCATTTGGAGTCGTGTCCGCCTTTGTTTTCAAATTTTTTTAAATTGCAGAAAAGGCAGGGGTGGGGAGAGGATGGGTCCTGGAAGATTCATCGAATGGCAGAGGAGAGAGACTATTCGAACTGATGAGAATGTTGATTTGAGAGGGGGAAGAATGTTATTGTTCTGAGATCTCGTTTAGGGTGAATAAGGCATGTAGGTCCGTTCAAGGGAAAGAATGTAAACAAAATAACGTTCGCAAAAAGCAACTGAGTGGTCTTTTGTGAGGGAACAGCACTAGTCTATGCACAATGACAAGGCCATCCAAACTATGTACAATGACCATCATAGGAAATATTTTATTTTTAGTGTACCTAAACGCTGCATGGGTAGAAACGCCGCACCCGCTGAAAATTTAAGTTTCAAACACGTAAACGCCGCGGCGTTTCTTTTGGAAACTACGGTAATTATCAAATTTTAAAAAACATTTTAAGTGTAATATTAGATCAAGAAAACAATCAGCAAAAATATTAAGCATTTTGAACCAGGCATTAGTCAAAAGATTCTTCAAAATATGCAATATTTTTTAAATGCTTTTGAAAATCTACAAATTCATTATGCATATTTTAATTTCTAACAGACTTGTCAGATGGTAATATTAAAAACGTTAATTAAGGCATGAATAATTAAGGCATTTTGAACACATTTTTCATTTTCAACTCAATAGTTTTACCTTGTTCAAAATGCTTAATACAGTACTTGCTAATTGCTTTCTTAATTTTACAATTGAAATTTTTCTTTAGCTTTCCAAATAGTAACCTTTGTGGTAAAAAAATAATAATAATAAAATGCAAAGCTCTCTATATACACACATATGCTTCAAAAAGTTACTTTACTCACTTAGAAAATTTTTATAACCTCATAACACCAAAAAAGTAGCACAAAATTGCAATTTTCCTTCGCTTTTTTTAATCTTCCAAGTTATCTAAATTGACATACATATATCACACAGATTCCAGCTGCTCTACATTGCCAATGGAGACCTAGATGGCTACTGTTGTGCCTACCTTTTACATTACTACCCCTTTGTTAGTGAAATGTTGCTGAATGATTAATATAAAATTATGGATTGCTGCAACAATTTGTTGCTAAAGTGCTGGCAATGTAATGGATATACAGGTATCTCTTAACAAATCCTCACAGAGAAATGTTACAAGGCATTCTGCGTGTATACCTCAGAAAGCAATAGCAAATGCAGTAAACTTGCACATTTCCAACAAAAAAGCATTAAGAGACAACTATGTCCTAATAAAATACTTAGCATGAGAAGAATTTTCCCTTGTTTCCCTCTCAGGTGATGCATGACACATTTTTGTACTCCAAAAAATAACAATTTTGCAAGCAAATAAAATTTGCTCCTTCTTTTTTAAAAATCCCTAGTCTGTTTGCAAAATTTGTATTTCAGTGAGTTAACTAAATACAATTATACAATTAACATATAAATTCAGAAAAATATGGGGTGTTCAGATTTTTTTTTGGGGGGGGAGGTCACAATTACAGCCATTTTTGGTCCATGGAATTTTGAATATATTTCTCTCTTCTCAAAATATCAGTGCCAATGATAAGCATCATGTTAACCTCTTTGAAAACAGAACTTAATGTGGAAGAAAGACAAGCCTAGAATTTTGGACTGCATGTAGTATGGAGCATCACTCCATGTTGCTTCTGTTATAAACAACTATTGGTTTGGTTTATTTAATTATGGCAAAGCACACTAGGGCTGTCTGCCTAAGGGAAGGGATGCCTTTGTGGAGGACTCTCTAAGGGAAACTGACTTGTATACACGTTACACATGGAGAAAAACATGAAAATGCCCATGCAGCCAGCTCATTCGCAGGATTCGAACATTGGACCGCACTACCAGTATTCAGCGACTTTACCACTCGGCCACTGGTGGGCCTTATAAACAACCATTACCCTTAGTTTTCGGAG